TATGAAACTAATTTATAGCTTTCATATGAAAGCTATAACCTAATTTTAGCCTAAGAATATAGGGAGGGGGAGGGGGAGGAGAGGGAGAGGGGAGGATGGGTGGAGGGAGGGTGATTGGAGGGAATGACTCAAGTCTTTGGCTAAGGCTTGTTTGAACAAGTAAAGGCTGTCCCTAAATCCCCGGGGTAACACAGTCCATGTGAGCTGGGTGTTGGAGTATGTCCCTCCCCAAAAGGGGAGCAGTACTTTCAGGCATAATTAGGAAGATGTGAGAGAACAACCAGTCATTTTAATTGCAGCTTAAAGGCTGAGAGAAAAATTTCGTAACCAGCTTTCCAGACATCCTCTGTATAGTTACAGATTTGGGGGATAAAGGACGAGGATTAGAAAGTAGTACAGAAAAGGTTGCTCCAGTGTCCAGAAGAAATTCCATCTCCTGGCCCCCCACTATAAGGCAAACCCGGGGCTCCTGAGGGGTGATAACTCAAGATGGAGCCATGAGAACCTGCCCCAGGTACCCTCAGTCCAGTTTGGATGCTGATGAGATCATTGTCCCCAGAGGCCTCCAGTGGTCACCCTTGAATTCTGGATAGGGGCCAGGTGGCTTGCCTAGCCAGTGGTGCTGCTGGGGACAGTCCTTCCTGAAGTGGCCAACCTGACCACATTGAAAGCACTTGTTCTTAGCTCCTCTGGCTTCCCTCTGCCCCTGAAAGGTGCTTGTTGCTCAGAGTGTCATTACTAGGGCTGCCTTTAATATCCCTTCTCTCTTTTTAAGGTGCTCGTTGGTCAGAGTGTCATTACTAGGGCTGCCATTCCTTTAATATCCCTTCCCTCTTTTTAAGGTGCTCATTGGTCGGAGGGTCATTACTAGGGCTGCCATTCCTTTAATATCCCTTCTCTCTTTTTCCTCCTCTTTCTCCTGATCTCAGTTATAAAAGACCACAGTGACTGTTTTAAGAAGATTCTCCAGGTTATGATTGGGGCCTAAAGCAAATTTCTGGAGTTTTCTTCGAATGTCTGGGGCTGTCTGAGGGATAAATTTATCTTTTAAAATAATTTGGCCCTCGAAGGAGTTGGGTGTTAACTGAGTATGTTTTCTCATCGCCTCCCTAAGCCGCTCAAGAAAGGCTGAGGGACTCTCATTTTGCTCCTGGTTAATAGTAGACAACTTAGAATAAATAATTCACAGGCTTTTTCTTGGATTGACGTAAACCTTCCAGGATACATGCTAAAATGTTTAAGCAACCAGTCACCTTGTTTCTCAGGGTTCCATTCAGGATCTCCATAGGGAACTGCCTGTCTTCCCATGGGGCATCTGTCCCTTTCCTCAGGAGACAGACTGCCATCAGTACTGGACATGAACCAAAAATCACCCCCCTTTCTAGCTTCATCTAAGACTTCTTTTTTTTTTCATTAAAAGTTAAAGTTTGATCTAGTAGTAACATTGCATCTCTCCCAGAGAGGTCAAAGCTTTGTCCTAACTCTTGGAGAACATCTATGTACTTATTGGGGTCATCAGAAAATTTTCCTAAATCAACCTTAATTTGCTTTAAATCTGCCAGAGTAAATGGAGTGTGTACTTGGGCACATCCCCTTTCATCACCCGCAGTCTCAACCAAGGGACACAAAGAAGGATGTGGTTGCCTTCTGGGGGTCCCAGTAGGACCAGAAAAAACTCTTGGGAAAGCCTCCCTCCCGGGGTTTTCTGAACATATAGAGGAAGGTGCAGGAGAAGTAGATGCTGGGTTTGAACTCGGTTGTGACAGTGTCTCCCCCGGGAATCCCTGACCATTTGGGGAAGTTACTACAGCCAGGAGAGCTGAATCTATCTGACAGGTTTTACACAGTTGGGGAATGCCCCTGAGGAAAAAGAAAGATGGCACATAAGGCACTTCAGACCACTTTTCTTCTTGTTTACAAAAAGCATCTAACTGAAAAGTGGTGTCATAATTAAGAGTACCCTCTGGGGGCCATTGTTCACCAGTGGAGAGTTGATACTGAGGCCAGGCCTGGGTGCAAAAGAAAAACATAAATTCTTTTTTCAGCATCTGGGGATCAAACATAGTCCTTCAGAATACAACCGAGTGGGGTGTTCTCTTGGCAAGAGAATATGTTATCCATCTATAGGAAAGAACAAACATCCAGAGTCTTACTCAATCCTACCCTGTATTCCTGGGTTGTCAAAGTGTCCTCTGACCAACTCATGAAGCCTTCCGGCCAAAGAAAAGGAAGCGTCCTTCCAATGCTTGGGAAAGAATCCCTGAGGAGAGTCTCCTCAGCCCCTGTGCTTGTCTGGAATTAGCCACTCTTACCAGTGTAGCCCGTAGTACCCACTGGCTCTCCTGTGCTTATAAGGTGCTGGCAGCAAAGCCCGAGAAATCAGGTATCAGGGAGCCTGGTCCCACATGATGCATATTGTGTCCCTTTCTGCCCCTTCCCCCCAGCTCCAGAGGGGTCCTCAAACTTTTTAAACAGGGGGCCAGTTCACTGTCCCTCAGACCGTTGGAGGGCTGGACTGCAGGCCCGGGGACTAGTTGACTGCTAAGCAGGACAGGCAGCGGCAGAAAAACACCCGGTGGACCACATAAACGTCCTCGACGGGCTGCATGTGGCCAGCAGGCCATAGTTTGAGGACGCCTGAAAATAGGGATGATCCCTGACCTGCAGAAAATGGCTGTGCAGTGCTTGCATGTTTAACTCTATATAATCTTTATAAGCTTCTTCTACATTCCCAGTAACAAAGGAAAATAGCAGGTCTTAAATGCTATGTTTTCCAGCCTCCCTTTTCTTTCCCAAAAGTTAGCTAGGCAAGGATAATTAAAGTCAGTTACAAATCAGAGTTGAGAGACACTTTGAAACTTTTGCATTACAATTAGTTACAATTAACTGAAGTCTTAAAGAAACCTGCAAGTATTGTAAACTTTCCCATTTACACCAATAAACAAGAAGAGATCAAATACCCAGGGTCATTTTCATTGCCTTTCTTCATTCTTAAGAGACTGAACTGTATAGTAGCTGAGGGTTTAGGGCCATTCTTGCCTTGGGGAGTTGCCCAGGGCTTCCCTTCACAGGCCTCTAGTTGCCCAGAGAAGCCCCCTTAGGGGAGTCCTTTTGCCCTTTGTTTGGAGCTGACTTGTAGTTAATATGGTTTAGCCTTTTTTTCTCAGACACATGAAAACACCAATTAAATTTAATTTTGCCATGAAAGGCAAAAAAAGGACCTTACAACACACCTACAACATTTGAGGTACACTTAAAACATCTGAAAAATACCAGAATGAGCCCATTCAAACTTAACTAGTACCAACATTCAAACAAAGCATGCAAACTACAAGGAGAGAGACAAGCTGAAGAGATCTATAGAGATGGTGGAGATAGGAAAAGTTTGGGACCATGGAAGAGAAGAGAGGATAGTTAGAGTTGGGAGAGCACGATTTTCCAAAGGCTCTCCCGCGTCCTGGGGTCAGAACCATTGCTGGGGACCCCAGGGCCTCTGGGTGCTGCCTCTTTGCTCAGCTCTCAATCAGAGAAAAGGAGTCAATACAGAACAGTTTCAAAAGTCTTCTAACATTTCCTTAGACTCCTTCCTGGAACCAAGGGGAATTAGAAAGTTCATTCTCCGACAGCCTCTCGCCTGTGACCTGGAGGTCAGCAGCCACACTGTGCACATTTACGGGCTGATGGGCATCAAAATTATTAGTCTCCATTATTATAACTATAGAGGAAAGCAGGATAGAGGTAAGTGGTCCCATTGCTTACCACAGATTTCAATCCCAGACATGAGCCTCCAAATATGACACCGAAATTTCGTCTTTAGTAGGTTCTTGGTCTCTGTGACTTGAAGAATAAATCTGGGAACCACAGATCAGTGGTAAGACAGAAAAGAATACAGAAATACAAAAACACCAGAGCTCCCAGCAGAGAGAGAAAACCCAAGTCGGGAGAGAAAAGCTCTCTCTCTCCCTCTCTGTCTGTCTCTCTCCCCGGCCTCTTTGTGTCCCTTGGGACCCTCTGTAGTTACATTTAGAGCATCTGGGACAAGTCTGGGATGTGAATGACTGGCTACAATCCCTTTCATTCCCAGGCCTAGGAAATTTACATGAAATTGACCAGGCTTAAGAAATGGGGGGTTACCTGTTCAGCCTTAAGTATAAGGGGAGGGAAACCTAAGGTGCTGGCGAGGCAAGAAAGTAAAAGCAGAGCTAAAAGAATCTGTCCTGCCGCCCTGTGTAGGCCTCAGCCAAGCCGCAGGCGTTTCTGTTGTCTGTATATTCCTCCCTTGACATGCATGGGGCCTAGATTGTAACCTAGTAACTTCCTTGGACTTCCTTCACCTTTGAGGGCAGGTGGTCCAACGGGTCTCAAGGGCGTGGACCAATCTGACCTTCCCCCTTGAGCCCGGGACCTTGAGGATGATGTCATGTCTCTCTCTGTTTTATGACCCTCACGTGCACTCTAGCCCTGAAAAGTGGATAAAAGGGAGGCAAGAGATTGAGTTGGGGGTGGGGTAGGGGGGAGGTTGGTTTTGGAGATACAGGTCTTCTGAGTCCCATCCCTCTCCCCCCACCCCCCACCCCCAGCCAGAATAAACCCACTTCCTCTAATCAACTGGTGCCTGGAGTCTTCTGTCTGCCTTGGTTTCCTGCTATAGTCTCTTTGTAAGAAGCAGATCTGCATTTGGATAGTTGGATTAGGTGCTCTGGCAAGATGGCCATTCTTCACTACCTGAAGTTAGGAGAGATAGTCACCACCATTCCTCCTCTTGGTTTTTAAGGTGGACACAGTAGAATATAGGGAACATTTGTCAGAGGATACTAGAGGCTGGGAAAGGGAGCATG